AATGAGTGATGATGAGTGGTGAGTTAGTGATAAGTGGTGAGTGAGTGATGGGTGATGATGAGTGCGTGAGTGATGAGTGAGTGAGTCCATAAGAAGGAGAACAGAAATAAAGGAACAGGTAAAGGGCAATTTGGGGGTTTAAGGGTGGGGGTGGGGGACCCAGGGAGAGTTAATTAGTAGTTTAAATATCCGAATACAAAATTGTTCTGAAATGTATAGCCTCACCTAATTTACAATACAACCTTTGGGGGGAAAAGCATTGCTACAAAGTCATTGAAACCTTTAATAAACAAAAATATCAAAATGTAAGGCTAGTATTTATTTCCTGATCTGTCTTCCATCTCAGTCTATCACCTTCTGGGGTGGCATTTTCATCTAGCTCTTCCCCAAATAATTCTGTGCTCTAATTTACATTATTTCAAAATGTAAGATTTGACAACCTCAAAGGACTCTAATTGGATTCCTTTAGTTTGGGGACTAAAATGAAGTCTGAAAGGGCAATATTAGAGCTGTAGTGTGGGTAAAGAAAGTTTCCCAGGGAAATTGTCCTGGGATATCACGTGATACCCTGCAACTTTCCAGACATTTTCTCACCAATGCAATTTTCCTTTTTAAAGAAAACACATCATCCTAGTAAACCAACGATCGTCCTGTCAAAACACTTATTTGAAATAAACCCGTACTTAATGAGCTAGAACCCTAGTACCCACTGCCACCAAGTTGATTTTCACTCATAGCGACCCTATGTAAGTTATTGAGGCTGTAAATCTTTATAGGAGGAGAGGGAATCATTTTTCTCTCCGAAGCAAATCGTGAGTGTATTAGTCAGATAATTTTATATCAACTTGAAGATACATAAAAATGTAGGGATGGTATCAAACTTGTCAATCAGGTGACAGTTTGGTGGTACCTCTTAGCGGCCATGGCCATCTCATAAGGAGGGCACAGAAACCTCCTCCTCTCTGCCTTCACCACCCTGCTTTCTGGCCACCCTGCGAGCTGCTTCGTTTCCCCTGCTCTTGGATCCACGTAAATTTATACCCACTGTCCTGTGATCTCCCTGCATTCTGTATCATTGCATGCGGCACCTAAGTCTGAACAGGGACTAGTACCGAACTTATGGACTTGAGATGGACTGGGCTAGGATGCATTCTTGATATATAATTCCTTCTTGATAAAAAGCTCTTTCTAACACATATAGTCATGTCACTGGATTGGTTTCTGTAGTCAACCAGCCTCACCCAGTGAGTTTGAACTACCAACCTTTGGTTAGCAGTTTAATGCACCTCCAGGGCTTTTGGAAATTTAGCAGCAATGTTTTTGTCTTATTACTCTATTTCTACTTTACTTCCATGTTTATTGTTATTTTCCTTCAGGTATCACTCATCATTACCTTTTGAAAATGTTAGGCAAAAATATGGCTATGAAATAAATGAACATAGTTGCCGTTGAGTCATTTCCAACTCAAGATGACCTTGTGTGTGGAGAGCAGAACTGAGCTCGCTAGGATTTGCAGGACTGATTTGTTCGGATGTCGAGAAGGCGGGTCTTTCTGCAGAGGTGCCTCTGGGCAAACTGCAGCCACCAACTGTTTTGGTAGCAGCAGTGCGCATTAACCATTTGCTCCACCCCAGGAATCCAAAATAAAAATAAGGCCAGGTGTATCTTGTGTGATTTATTTACCATGATGGCACATATTTATTGCAGAATTGGTGAAGTGAGAAAAGTGGATGAAAGTGTATTATTAGAGAAGAATGAGGGAGAGACCTGATGTGGAAGTAAATCTACAGATGCGAGCTGGATAAAACACATGCATTTCATTTTAAAGTGCTCCTGTTCTCCAAAATTGGCCCTTAGGTTAAAAACAAAAGTGCCCATAAGTAATCATGTGAGTTGAAATTCATGATTAAAAATTACTTGCAACATATTGATTGAGATTGGTGTATATATATATAAAGTATACATTTAATCACTAGCTCTCTGCTTCTAAGAGATTACAAGTTTGATTTTCCTTGCCTTTAATTGTATTTTATCTTTTGTTTACGTTGATGTTGAGGAAACAAATTTTAGAATTTGTTTTTCCTTTTGGATGCCACTTAGCCCACATAATAACTCAATTTTAATAGTTTTGTATTTCTTTTAATAAAATAAAATAGCTGAACGGTTTCCTTGTATAGGTATGGAGGGGGTGGGACCTCCCAAAAAACCCAGGATTATTTTTCAAAACTATGTATTTAAACTTTAACAAAACAACCATATCACCTTCAAAGTACTCTCCCTTACACTTAATACATTTGTCAAATCTGGATTCCATTCATGCAAACATTTTTCAAACTTCTCTGTTTGGATGGCTGACAGCAACTCCTTTGTTGTTTTTTTTTCACCTCTTCTATGTCGTCAGATCACTGTCCTTTCATGTCCATCTGCACTGGCAGATAAAAAAAAGTCACATGGAGTGAGGTCAGGTGAGTCAGGTGGTGGGACAAGAGAGGCATGCTGTTTATTGCCCCAAACTGGCACACTGAGATGGCTGTGTGAGCAGGTGCATTGTCGTGGTGGAAAAAGCAGTCCCCTGTCAGCCACAAATCACTTTCTTGCCGTATACTGTTACGCAATCTTTTCAGAACTTCTAAATAGAAAGCTTGATGAATAGTCCGACCTGGTGGGAAAAACTCCAAATGCACTATTCGGGCCACATGACAAAAAAAGCACAGTCAATGAGCATCGTCTTGCTCTTTGATTTCACTAGACGAGCTTTGGGGGGGTGAGGAGACGATGGCGTCTTCCACTGGCTTGATTGATGTTTGCTTTCGGGTTGTACGAATAGCACCAGGAATGACCTGGAGGGGAAATCTGAGTTGCTTCAGGGCCGTTATTTCAAAGCACAGCAAATTGCCACTCAAGGCTCTTTTCCCCCATCAGTCAGAACCTGAGGCACAAATTTGACAGGGACCCTTCTCATTCCCAAATCTTCCATTACAATTCACTGAGTCGAGCTCCAAGATAGTCCAGGTAACTTCCCCATCTCGCCAATGGTCTTTTGTCGGTATTCAAGCACCAGGGCACGAATTTGTTTGACATTTTCATCCATTCGGGAAGTTGACTGAGGTCCAAAACGAGGTTTGTCATCAATCAACATTTCACAATTTTGGAAATGAGAAAACTTCTCATACACTTGAGTTTTTCCCATAGCGTTGTCCTTGTAAACCTTGTTCACCATCACAAGAGTTTCTGTGGCATTTTTCCTGAGCAGGAAACAATTTTCACAGCCACACACTGTTCTATTAAATCGGCCATTATAAAAAATAAGGTTCCAGTGAAACTTCTTTTATGAAAAACTTCACTGTGACCAGAGAGGACCTTCCTAGGTGATGCCCCTGGGTGCACTAACTCAGAGCGAGTTTCTGGATGCTCACCTAGTGTGGAAAAAATAAATACTACGAAAGCTCTTCCCAGCGGAGCTTTTTTTCTGTTTTGTTTTGTTTTTTGCTTTGCTTTTGTTTTTGTTTTGCGGTACCCCCATGGAGGTAGCAATGACCCAGACATCATTCTCTACCTGGTCAATGTTCCATATCTCTCTTAAGCCCTCCTCAACATTTTAGCACAAGTAATTATCTTGTATCATGACATTGCTTGAGCATCTTTTGTGTGTATTTTGGAAATGCATTGAATTCAACTACATTTTTGTTTTGTACCAGTCACGTTATTTCTCCACTTTTTTTTTCTTAACCCATATTGTAAACACATAAAATTCTGGAGATTTATTGAAAAAAAAGTTTATTGTTTATTAAAAAAAACATTTATTGTTTTTTTAATTCTAAGGTATAGTTAAAGGGGCTTTTATTTCCATAATATCCCTCTGCCCACCCTCACTCTGCCCCCCTTGACTTCTGAGAAATATTCATGATATATCTGGCTTTCCTACCCTTTTTAGGTTATTGTGGTGTGCCATCAAGTTAATTTAGATTGATAACAACTTTGTGTAAAGTGCAGACCTGACTTCCTAGGCTGTCATTTTTATGGGATCAAATTATGATATCTTTTCTCCCAGAGCGTAGGTGGTAGCTTTACACCACTAGCCTTTTGGTTTGCTTTTGTTTTATGAATTGGTGCCTATAAATACTTTACTCTACCTTTAATAAGTCCTTGGCAAAAGAGGAGGCTTGCTATTCTGGTGATTGAGTCACCGTCCCAGAAACACACAGGGGCAGTCCCACCCTGTCCTCACTGGACTGGATGGCAGTGAGTGAGCGTGTATAACAAGGCAGGGCTAGTCACGATATTGTCCTTGAGTCCTCCCCATTGTTTACTTCAGTGGCACGTATGGGGGAGCTAGATACTGCATACAATATATGAAAATCATATTTGTGTATTTCATCCCAAATTAATTGCTTCATAAATAATTTTAGTTCTTTTTTCTTCTTACTATTGAACTATTCAGTATTTGTTCGAATTAAATCCAAGGAACAAATAATGTCTAAGGATATCTATCAACCATTTATTTGTCAAAGTCTAAGTATCTCTCTGACTCAATTCAATTGCTGTTGAGATGATTCTGACTCTTAGCGACACTATACAATTGGGTAAAACTGCCTTTGTGGTTCTGACACGAACACTTATGGGAGTAAAAGACTTACCTTTCTCTGTTGGAGTGACTCTTGTTTTCAAACTTCTGTCCTTGTGGTTACCAGTTCAGTGCTGCAATGCATTGTGCCACCAGGCCTCTGAAAGGAGCTACTAACTGCACATCATCAGCTCAAAACCACTAACTGTTCTGCAGGAGTAAAGGAGGTTTTCCTTTCCCTAAAGAGTTATAGTTTGGAATACCCAAAGGATACTTTCAGCCTGTCCTCTAGGTTTGCTATGATTGGAAATCAACTCCATGGCAGTGAGTTTGTTTGGTTGGTTTATCTATGACCTATCTATCTTTTAAATATATAACATCATTGATTTTAATGGAAGAACAAATAAATATAATAAGAAGTATATTACCTCTGGATCCATGGGAGGATATTTCCGGCCTTTGCTCCTTCCAAGGCATTTGGTTTTTCCTCCTTCCAGTAGTTGACACCAGAAACCCTTTTGGGGATCAAACCTATAATAAATCAAACATCTAATGATCATAAACTGCATACAGACTTTTCAGTAGGAGAGTCGCTACAACTTGGAGAAGTGAAATTATGTTAGTATGTCCATAGTTTTAATTTATTAGTTAAAATTTGCAAATATCTATTAGACTGATTTCAGAATAAAGAAACTCTGTTACAATATAGCTATAAGTTTGAATTGTTCTACTGTGATTGATAAGATAGATAGTTTTAATTGGATTTCAGGTTGTGATTGTTAACTTAAGTTCCATATTTTACCGCTGGATGCAGAAAAGATCAAATACCATCATTAGATACACATTCCATATGTTAAGGACAATTAGAATGCTTTGTTTTCTCATCGCTATAGTTCTCTCTCAGAAATATATTAACAGATTTCTTTAAACCCATTCAACTAATGGATATTAATGTGCTAAATGATTTTTACATTTATTCTCTCTGAGTATAAATATTAATTAAACCTCCATAAATGTATAAGATTCTCAGATGGCACAAATGGGTTTCACTGGTCTACTAACCAAATGCCCTGGTGACCCACTTTCCGGAAGGTTGTTACTGCTGTTTCATCCTGGAAAGTCAATTTGACTCATCATGAACGTACAGGACAGAGTAAAACCACCAGATCTATTCTCCCACAGTGCAGCGAAGGTGTGCAAATGACTGACCGTTCGTTTAGCTGTTGAATGTGTTAGTAAAGCTCCTTTTCCATGAAAAAAACTGCTAAGAAAATCCTCTGGAACAGTTCTATTCTTGTAACACACAGCTATGTGTTTAAAATTTGGGAAAATCCTGTTCTTTATACCGTGCAAAAATTCTAAACTTTTAAAGAAGGCAATTTAAGGTGTTAACTATAGATTATTGTCTTGTTGCTCTAATAATATGAAACTGATTCTACATGGTGTATAGGAGAATAGATACTTCTTTCTTTCTTTTGCTGAAGGCAGATGACCTTATTGGATAATTCAGTCTTATAGACTTAAAGAAAACACTAATGTTATATTGTTCCAACACTTGTATTTTTACACAAGGAAGGATGTGTAGCCTAATTATTTTGTTTAAAGTCAGACAGACAAGGTTTTTGTTTAGGACTTAACAAGATAGGAAAAATGAAAGAATGAACCAAATAAGATGAGAAATTTTAAATGTATTGCTATGGGACTTGCTGCATGCATAAAACATCGAAAAGGTTTGCATTTTTGTTGCTCAGCAGATGTTTTAGAAGGATGAAGCATAATTGACTGGGATGTAAAGTTAATTAGTTGCAGAATATTTTGTTGCCCTGGGCCCATTCCTGTAATATGGGTGCACCTGCAATTTGCTTCTTCACATCTGTGAGCTCATTCAGGAGGAGGGGAGCATTTTCTTCGCAGTTCCCTGCCCAGCCTATTATTAGAGGCCTGATCCTTCCTAGTACATGTTATCCATTACAATTAAATACATCACTGGTTAAATGGATAAAAGCAAGACAGAGTCATTTCCAACCTGGACTTTTCAATCGGCTCCTTGCCTGTCAGGGTCCTTTCCCTAGTTTTCATTAATTTCCCGAGGGGAAAAACAAGTCTGCATGCTGTGCAAAATGAGAAAGGAAGTTGGCATCACGGTGCCCCTAAACAACATTTTCTGCCTCCGGATGAGAATATTTAACTACATTAAGGTAAAGTACAGCTCTGGCTACAAAGCCAAGGTATTTATAGATACACTGAGAGTATCTTCTTTGTACTCCACTAGTGCAGAGGGCTTAAGATGAGCCACCTCTCTCTTCACTCTCTACAAGGAGCTGATGTGACGCCCAGCTGAGTACAGCCTGAGAGAGGAAATCCTTCCCAAATATTGAGAGCCATCTCTTTAGATGGGGCTGTCGTAACCTTGAGTCCACATTACTTTGCTGCCCTGCTTTTACTTCTTGCATTGACAACTTTATCTACCCTACGGCTAACAGAGAACATTCATCCTCTCTAAGTTATAGCAATCCATTCTTTTATGATTTTATTTTAGTAGGCATGAAATTGTGAAATTAAGATGCAAAGCCTTTCTCAGATAACTGTTAGACATCTTTTAGGACATAGGTTGGTTGCTAGTTGTGTTCTTTTATTACGCTGAACATCACTATAGTTATTAATGTTTGTGATGTGTGAGATATATTAAAAACCATATATTTTGTGCTTGTTTGTAATCTTCTTCAAAAGTGCGACTTTACAGATTTATATACTGTAAGCCACTGTTTGTAGTACACATGATAGAACCATTACATAAACTACCCCAGGAAAGCAGAGGAAGTTATACCACCATCAAAACTATTAATGCACAATGTATTATCTTATGACCTGTCTTATACTTATAACATATTATCTTATATATGATATGCTTCTTTAATCTACAAGGCACTGGTATGTTTTCATTTCCCTGTGTAGACAAAATCTTCATTAAGGTTGTTTTAGTGGATAAAGAACAATCCAATCTTATTACTGTGTTTCCTATCCCTCCATTACCCGCTCTAATTGTCTAATTGCTGGTACTAATCTGCTGTGAACTGGGAAATTACATAATGAGCCTCGTTAGAATTTTGTCTAAAATTTAATAGGCTTTATAACAGACCTTGTGGGGAAGTCTTTTATAAGTAAAGTAGTTCCTAGTTTTAAAATCTGCTTTGCCGACATGGAGGTTTTTATTTTATTTTGAGTTCTTATTGTTTTATTTTGCTGTTTCTTGACAGTTTTCCATCCCACTTTTAATTACCCGTGTTCTATAAAGCAAGCTTCCCTCCTCCATTCTCTTCTAAAGGATTAATTTTCTATTCCTTATCAGAAGGTGGAATCCAATTTCCCTGTCTTTGGATTTTGACTGGTTTTATTTTATTTTTTCACTATTTCATTATTTTATTTATAATTCTTAAATTTAAATGTAATTATCTATGATGCTACTCTAACCTGCTAAAATTCAAGGACAGCCTTTAATTTTCTATTTATCTATTTAGGTCAATAGTTCTTTTAAAAATGTTTTATTACATACTTTTATTAGGGGCTCTTACAGCTCTTATCACAATCCATACATTCATCCATTGTGTCAAGCACATTTGTACATATGTTGCCATCATCATTTTCAAAGCATTCTCTTTCTACTTGAGCCCTGGATATCAGCGCCTCCTTTTTTACTCTCCCTCCCCACCCTCCCACCTATTAAAGACTTCATATTTTCATATCTTACACCATCCTCTGTCTCCCTTCATCTACCTTTCTGTTATTCATCCTTTTGGGAGGGGGTTATATGTCGATCCTTGTGTTTGATTCACCCTTTCTCCCCCCGCTTTCCCCTTATCCTCCTGGTAGCTCTATTCTCATTGGTCCTGAAGGGTTGATCTGTCCTGGATTCCCTGTGTTATGGGCTCTTGTCTCTACCAGTGTACATCCTCTAGTCTAGCCAGTTTGTAAGGTAGAATTGGGGTCAGACAGTGGGGGTGGGGGGGAAGCATTAAAGAACTAGAGAAAAGTTGTATGTTTCATTGGTGCTATATGCACCCGGAATGGCCATTCTGTAAGGGGATGTTGGACTCATTTTAGAGATTTGCTTTTAACCAAGAGAACATAAGTGAGGCTATGTGAAGCCTCATTTGAAGGTCATGACTCTTGGATCACACACTCCTTAGAGCAGACATTTATGCCCTGTGAATGCCTCTCAGAACCCAGCAAATGAGTGGTGAACAATCCAAACCTGGTTGAGAGGCCACATGGCGAGAAATTGCCCCACCAAGTCCATGCTTGGGTCATCCCAGCCTAGCCTTCAGTGATGTGAGGGAAGAAGCTTCCAACAGATTGCTGTCTTTGGGCACAGAGTCATTCTCAGAGATTCAAGTTTCCCCAATTGTGGTCTCAGATGTGGAGCAAAGATAAGCTGTCCACTCTGCCCCACCAAGTGCCAACTCACAGAATCCATGAGCTTAATAAAATGGCTTAATAAAATGATTATTGTTACCTACCAGCCAAGTAGAACATAGTTTGTAATCCACACAAAAACGGACAACTAGAACATCTATGGGATGCATTACATACGACAGTGATTAGATTCACAGAGACTGAAATGCTTAAGCACTCAACTACTAGGCAAAAGGTTGGCGACTGGGGCCCCAGGGTGGTGTCTCAGAATCAGGTCTGGTGTGCTGCGGGGAAAGGGCTCCTTCTTGCAAACCATCGAGCTAATTGTACCCTGTGAACATGGGTGGCCATGAGTTAGA